AAAAAAAGAAAGAAAGAAAGAAAGAAAGAAAGAAAGAAAGAAAGAAAGAAAGAAAGAAAAAGGGCCGGGGAGATAGCTCAGTAGAATAAGTGCTTGCTTGGCAAGCACAAGGGCCTGAGTTCAATCCTTGGTTCTGAAAAAAAAAAAAAAAAGAATGCCAAGCACCTACTAGCTAATTGTTCATTTCTTCTCCAAGAACTCACTTGGTCTGTCCTGTGTGCCAGCTGCAGACGCAGGTGCAGGGGATCCCTGGCTGAAGAGGAACAAATCCCTGAATTTGGGCGACTCGCAGTACTGAGAGGGACACAGACACAGACACTGCCATGACTGTAGCTGGATCTATTCAGTGGGAAAGCACAGCAAACAAAATAGGCAGCCCTTGGGCAGACTGGGGAGACCTCCTGGAGGAGGTGATGCGCAAGTGGGCCTCAGGGACTCAGCAGGAGTCAGCAAGGTGACAAAGCAGCTTCGGTGAAGGAAGAGGAAGGAGCAAAGAATCCTTGCTAAAATGAACTGGATTAGCTTGACCTGATCCTCTACCATTCTGAGATGGGTGTCCAAAAGAATTGTATGTACGACCTCCTCTTAATCTAGTGGTTCCTGTGAGGACTTGTTGGGTCCTTGGTGTACCCTGGGGAGAAATGGTGTTAGGAATAAGGAGAAAGGTTGCCAAGCGACTAACAGCTAAAATTGTCCAGACAGGATGTTTTCCTCAAGACTGAGGTAGCCTGACTGCTTTAGACACTCTGGCATCGTCCTGCCCTCCCACATAGGATTAATTTCCAGCTTCAGCCACTCCCAGCAAGCAGGTTCTATCGTCCAAAGTAGGCTGGCCTTGAACTCATGGAGATCCTCTTGCCTCTGCCTAATAATAAGTGCTGGGATCACAGCTATGTGTCATCACACTCTGATTTCTTAACATGTGTTGTTGGCTTTAAGATACTGAATGCTACATATACACAATAATTCTTGTTTTATGTTAGCTGATACTCCTTTACTTGGGTGCCAGAATATAAAATGGTGTTGTTTTTCTGGGCTTCTGCTAGTGCTATGACATTTGGGGTTCCAGTCCACACTGATGATGGGAGAATTGTGCTCTGGGCTAGGAATCTGTTCTGAGTACCTCAGCATTTGACCTCTCACCCACAGTATTTCATTAACTACTGATACATCCATGGCCTTCCCTTTGCCAGCTCCCTAAGGACAGGGGCTGTCTACTACAGGTGTAGAGGATTTCTAACAGGTGGTCAACTTCTTGCACCCAGCTGAATTAAACTAGCTGGGTGCAGGAGGCCCACCTGAGGGTTGTTGCCAGCAGCATAAAGGCAGAAGAGGAGAAGCTGCTGGAACACCATTAGGGATGCTGCTTGGAGGAGCTGTTGGAAGCTGCTGGTTCTCTTGGGCTGTTCCGCTGGAGGACCTTGTCATTCTGGCTTTCCCAGTGAACTTTGGGGGAGCTCTGGGCCTCGTCTTGAGC